ACCCCGTCTGCGCTCAGGTGGGATCGCTGCCGTGCTGCAAGGAAGCGGCTCAGGAATTGGCACGTCTGTCTAATGCAATCCACTGCCCAAAGGGAGGTGCCCCAGAGGGCCAGGAGGCAGCCAGTAACACGCCAAACTCGACAACAAAACGAGGCCTGTCGAGCCCCAATTCACGTCCAGAGAACCTGGCAAATTGCCAGCAGGAGCAGGAAACCAGAAGGATGAGACCAAGGGAGGCACCGAACAGCTGTCAGCGAGGAGAACTCATCTGAGGGGCTGGGGAAGATATCCCAGAGGGGGACCTAACGGTGAAGGAGCGCGACCTGCACGCTAGTGACGATGCTGGGTAACGAGCAAGCCAGGAAATCACCTGGACAGCAGCGCTAGGAGCGGTGGATGGGGGCCACACCACTGCGATAACTTCAGTTATCACAAGCTTGTCTGCTACTCCCCTTAAAACCCAGCCCCCCCCAGCCCCCCATCATGCCCAGCAGCAGGTTTCCGCCTTTACCTGAGAGCATGGTTCTCCCGGTTGTTCTGCACGGCAATAGCTTCCACCTCGGGACCCCCGTCTGCCACGAACCTGGCCAGTTTCTCAGCAGAGTTCTTTATCTCTTCGTCGTCTGGGGGTGAAACTTTAAGCAGGCTGTCAGTACTGGGCCCAACTCACACAAGAACAGTCACAGCCTATCTGTTCTAGGGACCCCAAGAGCAGAATAAGGGCAAAAGGTCGGGTTTAATTTTCAGAAGCATCACACAGGAACAGTCACAGTTTAGAACACAACAACACGACGGTGCGTAAGGCTGAACGACACAACCAGGAGCGCCCGCTTGCACGCCACCTGCCTCCGTGCCAGCAGCCGCTCGGGAGCGGAGCAACAGCCAAACCCGCTTTTGTCTTCAAAGGCAGACCCTTGCTTCTCCCCACAGAACAGCAAGTCTGCTCCTTCCTCGTATCAGGCCCTTTTCCATGGGGTTACGCCTCAACACTCACAGTTACCTCTAGTTAAAGACTTTGCCACGCGTCCCCAGGAGCGAGGGGAAGCCTTAGGCAAGGTGGCAAACGGATACTGCACCACAATCCCACTCGTCTCTCCTGTCACGACACCGCCGGCCGCTTTAGGGGAGGGCACTCTCCATGGGACAGTCCCAACCCTCACCTGGCAGAGGTGGCTGCTGCAGCCTTAGTCCAAGGGCAGAGGGACTCTGCTCCTGAGTTTTTCAAGCACAGTTGACGTTTATAAGGAGCCAGGAAAATAAGTTATTTAGCCCCAGCAGCCTCGTGTGACACTTGTCACCAGCACAGTGCCAGTACTCTGGCGTGCCGGCACAGGAGCCGGCGGCAGAAGCCACGATTATAAGCCATGGACAAGTCATAACCCTTCCTTGCTCCAATACCCCACACCTGTAGAGTACGGATAATACCGCCCAGCTTCCAAGCTGCTGCCTCAGTCAGCTGGTCAGGGTACCCAGCTCCTCCAGCCTACTGACCCGGGGTCTGTCTGAGCTGTGAAGTCACCAGCACGGCAGTTAATTGCATTAACACTCCTTCCCACTGCAAGAGGCAGCCGACGGAGGGAGGCCGAGCGCTCTGCCACGCGCAGGCTGGCAGCAGAGGCTGGAGCAGAGGCGGCGACGCCTGGCCCGCAGAGCACGCTTCACCCGCTGAGGCATTTCTTGAGGCAGTTTAGCAGATCCCGCTGCTCCCACCACCCGCCTGTCGGCCCTTCTCCCCCTGCAAACACAGCCCCTTGTCGCCAAGGAGAAAATGAAAGCTTCAGCTAAGGGAACGGCAGCAGAAATGGGGACCACGTTCAACAGGCCAACCGGCCGCTCTCGTCTATAACCAACCAGGTGGGGGTATTTGAGAAAAAAGCACTTTTCCAAAGTGTATTTCCGGGGCGGGAACGCTCTGCAGAGCACAGCGATGGAGACCCATTTAAATTCACTTTAAGGATTTGGGAAAAACACAAGGGAAACCTCTTCCAGAGCCCTTTATGTGGTGCACCATGCTGTGGGCTGGGGAAAGCACCACTTGGGCGCAAGAGTCTGATGCCACCGTGGTGACCTCCGACCCTTTCCCTTCCAGTTTGGGGTTTCACTCGCAAGCAGCCGACTGACAGCTGAGTATCCGCTCCAACTGTTTCCAGAGCGGACCCGACATGCGGTTACAGAGCGAAGCCACGTCTATGGGGCTGGCTTTGGCTGGGATAGAGTCAATGCTCTTCACCGTAGCAGCACGGGGCTCCCTTTTGGGTCTGTGCCGAGAGCGTTGGTAACGCTGATGGTTAGTTACTGCCAGGTGATGCCCTGAGCAGCGAGAGCCCCCCGGCCAACTCCCCCCAAGTTTATACACTGGGCCTGATGCTTTACAGCACGGAATGTCCCTTTGGGCAGCTTGTTCAGCCCTCCGGGCTCTGTCCCCTCCCAGCTTCTGGTGGAGCAGCAGCTGGGGACACAGGGGCAGGATCAGACACCAAACAAGTCCTTGGCTTAATGTAAACGTTGCTCAGCAACAGCCAAGCCCACCTGCGTGCTGTCGATACCCTCCATGCAAACCCAAAGCGCATCCGCACGGGAGCTGCTGTGAAGGACACGAACTCCGTCCCGGCTCCGGCTCAACCAGACACTTACGCAAGTCACATTCCCCATCCCAGTCTTAATTACCTTTCTGAGAAGAGGATGCAGGAGAGCTCTGATTCTCCTTTCTTATCTGCGCCACTTTCTTTCGGTAGTAAAGGAATGCTCTGCTGTTCTTATCATGCAAAAACCTGGGGTGGGGAGGCAGGAAAAAAGGGCAAAAAACCCGCATTAGCAACACCAGCACGCAGAGGCTGCCAACGGGGGATACCGACAGCTCGAAACCACACCGCGCCACACGGATCCATTCCTCTTAAAACGCGGGTTACAAAGCCTCCAGCGGGTATAAATACAGAGGTTTCATGTACAGACCTGCATCTGAGCTTTCTGTGTCACTCGAAGGGAAGTGACAGTCCCTGCTGACGTGGGAGAATCCTGCCCACAGCCACGCAGTGTCAGCGGCCCAGGAGGCAGAACCAGTCCCGAGACCCAGCCCAGTATCCCCATGCAGGAGGTCGTGCCGGCAGCCAGCCCTCCCAGGCTGGATTCCTAACTCTCCCTCGGCAGTACCACTTCCTGCCTCAGTTTCCCCAGCCAGAAAACAGTGACTCGAAACAAAGCTCAGACCCGTCAAAGGGTAACCAACCCAAACAGGAGAACTGCTCAGTGACGGTTCTCTCCTGCACAGAGCCCGCGTTCTGCTTCGGGAGAAGCGCGTTATGCCCACACTTACGAGAAGGCAGGGTTCTCCTTGTAGTCCTCCATAGCGAGCTTCTCTAACTGAGGTCCCCCTTCAGCCACGAACCTAGCCAGCTTTTCCGCCACCTGTCGGGTCTCCGCATCCTCTGGGGGTAAAACTTTAAGCAGGCTGTCAGTACTGGGGTTCAACTCACACACCCAACAGGCAACAGGTACATTACTTCTAAGAACCACGGCGGCAGAGAGGAGTAGAACGGGAACGGGAAGAAAAAGGGTGAATTGGGGGATCCAGTCTTACACAGCTGTACAAACTACAACCCCCAGGGCACCACCAGCCTCCGCACTCCCCTGAGTGGGACAATTATGTCTTCTCTAATGCTTCCCAAGATGTGGATCACCACACTCCAGGGTGCAACTTCAAGTGCAACGTTACTCGCTTCTGACAATTCCGCTCCACAGAGAGCACACGATAGGGAACAGGGATCCGGTTTGGGGTTTTTTAACCACCTCATTACTCACTAGAGACCCGATTCCAGTTCCCAAGACACCGCTCTGCACCCAGACAGCAGAGACAGATTGTGGGGCTGGAGCATGTAGCTCTTCCTGCTGGCACATGCCCATGTCTCAACCCTCACTTGGAGGGAATCCCACCGGAGAGAAGAGAGCTCAGTCTCCAAGAAACTGTAGTTTGGCTTCTGTGCCAAGAAAGG